GAGGTTCACCAAGTGCTGCGCCTGTCACGAAATATGCACTTCAAGGTTCACCAAACGCTGTGCCTGCTACGAAATATGCACCTCGAGGTTCACCAAGCCACGAAATCTGCACTTCGAGGTGTGCTGCGCCTGCCATGAAATCTGCACTTCGAGGTTCACCAAGTGTTGCGCCTGTCATGAAATCTGCATTTCGATGATTTTCAAGCGCTGCTGCAACGAAATCTGCATTTCGAGGTTCACTAAGCGCTGCACCTGCCATGAAATCTACACGTCGAGGTTCACCAAGTGCTGTGCCTGCCACGAAATACACACTTCGAGGTTCACCAAGTGCTGCGCCTGCCACGAAATCTGCACTTCGAGGTTCACCAAGCGCTGCGCCTGCCACGAAATCTGCACTTCGAGGTTCGCCAAGCGCTGTGCCTGCTACGAAATATGCACCTCGAGGTTCACCAAGTGCTGCGCCTGCCACGAAATCTGCACACAAAGTGCTGCCCCTGTCACGAAATCTGCGCTTCGAGGTTCACAAAGCGCTGTACCTGCCATGAAATCTGCACATCGAGGGTCACAGAGTGCTGTGCCCAGAGTGCTGTGCCTGCCACGAATTCTGCAAACTAGCCACATGTCCAAGAGTCACGATTCACAGCACTTGTCACGAAATCTGAGCTCCTCGACGATCACCAACATGTCCAAAGTGCTGCACCTGCCACGAAAACTGCATCAGCTCCGATCCCTTGCACCTGTCACGAAAAGTCGACTTTGAAGCACCAAAACACGAGGTTTCCCCTGCGCCTGCCACGAAAAGTGACCACCATGTGCGAAAATGCGCACGGCACCACAACGAGAGCGCAGTCGCTAGAAGCACCCGCCGCGGACACCCAGATTCTGCGACCCTGCGCAGTCGAAGTGCACATGGACGATGTCGAGAGGCATGAATGTACTGTAAATAGCAGCGAATTGGCCGGACACGCCCGCGACGCACAGCGATCTAAGCACACCTGCTTTTCTTTTGCCGTGAGAACCCCTCAGTGTGCCCACACTGTTTGGGGAAAAAAATGGTGTCCCTTGCGGCTTGAGCCATCCTCAGATTCTTTTCAGGCTGACATGTTTGAGAAACGTCATGCTGGTTGTGTGCCTCCAAATTGAAGACTGTAATGCCCTTCAACAACCTCAATGTAGTGATCAGTGCTTAGACTTAAAGTGTCATCTTGAAAGAACGAACATGTCCGTCTGATGGGATCTGATGGGTGTCGCGTGAACCGCTTGCGATTGCATGGACCTTCACATCTGCAAAGCCGTTGACAAAACCAAGCTCACGGCTCGTTAACGGACAAGCTCTTGCTGCCTATGAAGGTATCCTGTCACATACACGTAGAGCAGCGATCGATTGATTGGTCCGATTTTAGGTGGAATGTCTTTGGAATAGCGGAATATCCCATACACATGTATATAGTTTTTGAATATTGATTTACTTTTGTGATTTATGATTTGTGGAGTGGGGTATCTCGGCTCAGTCACACATCACAGGAGGTCAGTCACTTGCGCCCACCGTGTTTGACATTCAAATACCTCCAATACCCTGATGTGATCTCATTCATGTGTGAATCTGTAGTGTAGTGTTCCTCTTCGTTTCAGAAGGGTTGAGGATTTAGAGTCAGAGTTCATTCGTTGGCTTCATGTGAAGTTGGATCGGCATCCGCTGGGTCCGCTCCGGACGTGTTTGATTTACCATTCTCACCGAGCACCGCTTCGGCTCAATCCTGTCACCCTGTGACTCTGTGGGTCATGGAAACGAAGTAAACACATGCAACACTACATGTTGGACGTTGTAGGAGCGGACTTCAAAGTCGGGATATGAAATCGCTGCTTCGTTGCAAGAATCAAAGGGTTCCTACTGCTTCAATACCTTGAGCGAGTAGGTTGCAGGCCATCGCTATTAGGTTGGAGGGCATCGCTATCATCATTATCAGTAGTTGACTCAAAAGAGAAACTGATGGACGAGGAATAGAGAGGAAACGACAGGTCTTTGTCCCTATACCGTACCTCCAAGCACACGGTGGCAAAAACCACGGTATTTAGTATCCAAACCATCGCTGGACTCAAGAACAACAGCAAACCATCCACCTACACCTCTACAATTCTGATGGTCCAATGCCTTGCAAACGCAGTCTTCACGTTGACAGAAACTGTGTTTGACTGTGGCTGTGAAGGGAGATATCGGTAATTCTTTGGAGCTCAAATGCCCCTCTCCTCGGCACTTCCGGAGTCAAAGAGAAGAAAGTTCAAGAATTGATCCTGGGACAGGTCTGTGAAACGCAGCTGAGAGCTCAACTTGTGCTTACCCTAACCCGTGCTGCGTAGTACACATGCACACCGTATCAAACCGCAGCAAAAAAATCCATGCTTCTAAATGATTTGCACGTCTACGACCTTTGTTCGGAAAAGAGGGCTTGTTGAGTCTCCATGGGCTTTCCTAGAGCTCTAAAGCCTCTAAAAAGCTAAATGGCCCAGAACCTCCGAACTACAGATCAGCAATACTGGCCAAAGGTGCTGGCTTGTTGTAAACCTCGGGCGCAGGGCGCAGAAACGCCAAATCCGAAACCCAGTGCATGCACCTCGTTTCCCAAAAAAGCAAAGACAACTGAAGTCAACTGAAATCTATGTGTCTCGTGCCGGCACGAGCTGATTCCGGATTCAGACATGAACCCAGGTGGTTAAAGCTCTTCTTGGAGAATTAATTGAAATAGAACGTGTTGCAACGCTGCAGGCAAGAAGGTCCTTTCTCGGTTGAAATCAAACTCCTGCTCCCTTCCCTCCTGTGATCCCCGGACACGTGCGAGGTCAAGGCTTTTTTGATACTTGGGATTGGTATCGCTCAACACCTGAACCGCGATCGTGCACGGAGACTGTCAGGTGCCATTTTGGGAGCAAGCAAGGCCCTGCGAAATCGTCCAATGCGGGAAATTGACCCTTGCTTTGACCGCTTTCTGTGCGGGATGAATTCTCGACTTTGAACGGCCAAAAAGAGCTGTGGAACATGTCAAACGCCAAAACCAACGCCGTCCCTTCCCGACCTCTGTCCGATCGGTCTTGTCTGCAGAGGCCGAGGTCCGACCCTTCCTGACGGCCGAAAAGGGATGCGTTCGTAGCTAGAAGAAGCTACGTTCGTAGCTTCTAAGTGCCTTGCTACGTTCGTAGCAAGGCACCTCTTGTTACTAGTAGACGATTGAGTCGTGACACTCTGCGCCGCAGAGATCGCCGGTGTCTCTCGGTGAAGCGCTCTTGAAAACGCCCCGTTTCACAAACACGTGCCAGGTGGGATCTGACCTAAATGAGCAAACCTGCAAAAAAAAATATATATATATATATTGCCACGGCCAATGATACCAAAACAATATAAACAGCTAGAACGGAGGGCATTACTGCAATTTCATGTTCATGCTCAAAAAGTGCATTTTGCAGATTGATCTCCTTCAGAACATGTGCTAGGCTGCTACACGAAAAGTCTGGGTCCACCCAACTCATCTGGATCCTTGGAGAAGCCACATTGCACCTGCTGGATGGGCATAAGGCTTAAGGTTCCGACTCAAGTGGTGTCCATCTGTCCTGCTCTGTCCACAAGCTGCACTGCCCCAAGTCGATGCGAAACTGAAAGTAATGGTTCGACAAGCCTCTAGAAATGGATCAACTCCGCCCAAGTAGTTCACTTCAGGCACATTCTTCACGGAGATGTCCTCATCTTTGGAGGGAATTATGCCAATCGCCAAGGCGACAGGAGACACGGCTGACAGTTCTGCATAGTTCCTAGTAGCCTTCTTATTACTAGTAGTAAGGCCAGGAGCTACTAGTAGCGTCCTTGCTCCTAGTGGCATCCTTGTTGCACAGTTCCAAAAGATTGGCCATTGAAATCGTTGCCACAGCAATTGCCGTCGCCTGGATGCAAATGGCGATCTGCTCACCTTCATTCAGCGTTCTGGTCTTCTCCTAGAGCACTCATGAGTCAGACTGAGAGTGATGGTTTTACACTCTGAGGGCTTCTCAAGCACACTCGGACATGTTTTTTATCTCTGAGCTTCGACTTGGGTCATCCAGTGTACGCTGTAGGATTTGAAGGCACACCCATATATATATATATGTATATATGATGATCGATGACAAATGCAAACAGAAGAACACAACACATCAACTCTCTTTGGGTCAATGGCGCAAGGTAGAACCTGATGAGCCCTCTAAAATTGCTCAAAAGGATAACCCGCAACGGTGAGGTATCAAAAGCAACCAGAATTGTATCAACATGTATCAACACATGTATCAACTATCTGGCGTTCTCCGTCCGAACCCAGCAACTCTCAGTTGAAGATCTGTGACGTGGGTTTGTAAAAGTTTCCAATATCAGTATCTCCATCTCCGAGTCAGGTTGGAAGCCATTGCTATTGGGTTGGAGGCCATTGCTTCTAGGTTGATCAGAACGACTTTCTTTCATCGCCCTCTTTCCCCCGCTGACCTCGCCAGAGCCTGCGCTCCTTGGGCCCTTTCGGATGAACATCGAGACGAGCCTTCCAACCTCTGAAGCTGGCTTGCAACCTGAGCACGCCCGTTGATGCCGGTAACGGAAGGCGAGGCTCCCGAAGACCTCGGACAAAAGGAATCTTAGGGATGTGATGTAACAAAAAGGAACAGTGATTTCCAAACTTAAGGGGCTGTTCTTGGGTGACCAGCCACGTACAAGGTAGCAAACTGACCAGGCATCGAACAAACATGCGAACTAAAGGCGCCTCTTCCCCAGGCACAAGCCTTCGAGCTTTTCTTTTGAAGCTGTGCAGACTCGCTCTAATCTCTGTCTGTGGCGACCAGCAATTCGTTTTAGGAGAATCTCGCGTGATGGATGCAAACGGGCAACCCGATTCGCTCCATCTTGCTTGGTTGAATGAAAGACATGTCCAAACCGATTCTTTCCAAAGCATTCCAAAGCAAGACTTGTGTCTGCCACACTGCACAACCAGCCCTTCAGTCTTCCCATGTCTCTCAAACAGCCACAGTCACCTCAGCGCCAGTGGCACGGTGTTTAGTTTCTTTACAAAACAGTACGGGAAAGGCACACGCAGACCGGAGGCACACGGGACACCACTAGCGTCACATCTGGGCATCAAAGACGAATTCCTGGCAGACTGAACTAAATACCGGAACTCGTCCTCCCTTTACGATCTTGGCTGGTAGAAACCATGAAATTGCCCAGTTGATCATTTATTCAGCATGCAACATCATGCAACTCCCATGGGTGACATCATCACTTTCGCTGTCAGAGCTCGGCTAGGCACGTTGTCAGCAGACAGACTCCTCACTGTCAGACGGTGTCATCTTTTGCTGCTGCTCGGTGACACACATGGAACAAAGCCTACCAAAGTTTGACTGGAGGTTGCGCAAAAAGCACCTTAGTAAGCACCTTTTGTCATTAGCAATCGAAGATCAGAGAAGTAATTAGTACTCAAAGAGCTGCGTCGATGTCTGCCAAAAACTCAATCCTGGAGACTGAAACGCTTGGAGATCAATTTCAAGTCCGTCCTCAAAGAGCTCTGGTACTGCAAAGGCTCCAAGTTCCTGAAACACTCCGCCCCCAGAATGGCCTCTGGCCCAGGTTCATTCAGGTTCCAAAGCCATGGTTTTGGTATGTTTTGCTTCGTCAGGGTTCAGTGTCTAGAGTCCAACAAATCAGGCCTTTCAACAACGAGCCGCTGCGCGTCGATGCGCACAGCGAGCAGCTGGGTGGAGGGAGAAGCCTTTGAGTCTGTTCCTAGTAGCTTCTTGTTACTAGTAGTAATGGCCTCCAACCTACTAGCGATGGCCTCCAGCTAGATATCATCGTCCCAAGTTCCGAGCGTAGGCTGAACGTGCCTTTAAAAATACTTCGTGGCACGCCCCAATGAACAGTCAATGAAAGGGGGTTCATCCACCTGTAGCCAGGAATGCTTCATCATGCAACAGTTCTACAGAGCCGGGTCATTTGGCAATTCAACAAACCTTCATCTCACGCAAAACCTTTCCTTTGAACTTGGAACCCTTTCGTCATCCCGAGTCTCTTGCAACGTCCCAAAGTCAGGTGCTGCAAGCCCAGGGGAAAGGCCACATTCTCCAAATTCTGCTCGAAGCTTTTGGGAAAGGTAAGGCTCTGCAAATTGGTGGGCCAAGTTACACCTCACATCTCTTCACATCTCACATGCTCAGCTCAAGAAGCACTGAAGAGATGCCGAGCCACGCTCCAAGCTCTGGTCAAATTGATGCCCAAAGGCCAGACTTCGCAGATTCGACGGCCACTTTACATGCTCCAAGCTCCGGTTGAATTGATATCCTACACACTGGCACTGAACGAAATCTTCGATCGTTTCTCGTCTCGTTTCTGGTCTCCCCAACAGGATTTGTGCCCAGTGTCCGAAGGTCAATTTTTGCAAAGTGCTTGGCCACTTCACATGATCCAAGCTCTGATTGAAGCATGTGCCAAGTGCCAAGTCTTGCAAGTTGCCCGGCAGAATCATGTCCTGCAACGGACAAACCATGTCAATGTAGCCCAACAGGTACAACAGTACACCCTCGACTCTTTCAATCAAAGAAACGATGCTGAAAACAATTTGCTTAGAGGCCAATCCAAGTTGGAACCCTTCGCCAAACAGTTGGACCATGTACGTCAACAATTAAGACTTCTTGCTCCGTGCTCCGATGCGCTGAACGAACCTTAAGGTCCGAAACAGCATCCATCCAACCAAGAGATGGTGTCACATGTCGCCTCAAGGCTCTGGTTGAAGCTCTCGCCAAATCTGAGGCTTTCTAACGTCTCCTGCCAGTTTCGTCCGATGATCAAAGGTGGTCTGAGGCGCTCGCATAGGCTAGCCGCATAGGCTATCTTCTCTTTGGTTTTCTGGTTGAAACGGTGACCACAAACATACAAACAGTTTTCAGTAGTTGATTGACTGAAGACAAGATTTGAGGAGAAGTTCCACGAATGTAGACATCAGCCTTTGTCCGCATTACATCTTTCGAAAGACTTAATGAGCCACAACGACACAAAATCTCCCAAATATGGCCTGAGCATAGGAGGAAACTTGACCATTTGTATCCATGTGTCACACGTGTCACCTGGCTGCACCATACTTGGCGGCCTTGGTCGATTCCTACCACGTGGCGGCTGCGGCTAGTTCGAAGCAGCTTCGAGTCGGCTCTGCGGGCTCCGGCAGGCGGGTGAATTCCATGGATTGGTTGAAGCGATCGCCCAAGACAAGGCTTCGTAGAGTGGCCTCAGATGTGAGATGCGCATTTGTGCGATGGAGAGAACCTCAGGTGAGTAACGTGACGGAGAAATGGATGTTTCATGGATGTAAGAGAATAGATCAACTCCCTGAATTCAAAGAGACGACAAATCTCGTCCAGGAGACTGGGAGGTAGAGGTTGTCCAGGCTTTCATTGAAACAACCTCCCAAATTCAAAGACTGACGAAACTAGCATGGCAACTTCGAAGGCGGAAGTGACAATTGTGAATTCCACCTCCCTGGAACAGCGTGGCATTGTCTGAAGAACCATAGATGGCGAAAGAGATATAGACCAAGCACTGGGTCTTTTGAAGGAGTTCTTGCCATGCTGAAACTATGAGGGAAATCCTGCATGGGAAATCACTGCGCTTTCGCGCGCAGGCTACACGGCTGCTCCCCCGATCCTCCCAAGGTCAAACTCTCCAGGGAGAAGTGGAGCTGAACAGACCGAAGGCTCTCATGGAAGTCAAATCCAAAGTGCAAGCTCCGCCTCTGCTGAGTGCTGGTGCTGCAAAAAACCTTTCTGTGACAAGCAGAATGCCAACTTTGCAAATGAGTTGCAAGCCACTTGGAATTCGCATGCCTTGAGCGTTGAAAGACACACGTATAGATACAAATGGCATGACCATGGGCAAATCTGTATCTTATAATTTTGCTGGTGTTACATATACATATGGCTGTGGGTCAGGAGCTCCAAACCCCGGTAGGTTGACCTCCTACAGTCGTCTCCCGGCTTAACCGGTTTTGACCCACACAAATATAAATATGAATATGACATGAATAATATATGTATAGTATATATATATAGTAGCGATGCCAGCCCCTAGTAGCGTCCTTGTTCCTAGTAGCGATGCCAGCAGCCCCTAGTAGCGTCCTTGCTCCTTAATATACATATCCACTTCCATCCTCTCCAGGAATGGAAGGGAAGTAACATGTGTCGGGAGAGTTTCTTGGACTCTTGGACTTCTGACGTACTGAATTAGCGATTTCAGCCACAAATGACTGACATGGTCTACGACGAGTCTACAGGCGACTGACATCAGGATGCCCCTGAGTTCAGGATTTGCCATACTTAAGCCTTCATAATGGGTGTGGTTCCTTCGTTGCAAGTGTGCTCAAGGGATCATTACTCACTAGCCGCTCACTAGCCCCACTAGTCCACACATGCAACTGCCGCACCTCTGTAAAAAGCGGCCCCAAACTTCACTTCTGGTCCTTTTTTCTGTGCAGCAATAAACCAAGAGGGCTGATCCCCACTCCCGGCCACCTTATACTCTGACGGTTTCGTGCGACTTCTCTTCGAGAGGATTGGATTCTTCCTGCAAGAACGTAGCTGCCAAGATACATTGCAAACCGTGATTCACCAAGTGGGAGAGTGTCAAACTCTGCAAATCACCTGACTGGCAGAAGTGAGGTGTGTTTCCAGAATGCTGCGCACCAATCAACTTTCCTTTTTTAGGTGCAAGCCTGTCTATTGGTGAGTTTGAATCAGCATCTGAAGAGCTTCAACGAAAAATCCAGACTTCCAGCATCTTCCACTTTATTCTAGGCTCATTACACGAGAGAGATTGTATTGCTCAAGATGCTAACATTTCTGAGCTTGCCCATTCAACGTAAAATCATGGTCACAGGGTCCACCACACCTGGAAGGCCTTCGATGTCTGAGCGATCACCAATCTTTGGCATGACTAAAGTGCGCAGATTCGGCAGCGAAAAATCTCGTGAACCTAAGCTCAAGCACAGCCACACCAACCGCGGTCTCTTCTATTTTACAATCGTGGGAGGCCGTTTATGTACTCCAAGATCTCTGCTTCACTTCACTCTCCAGTAGAGACTGCCTCGATGAACTTACGCAAAGGATAGGGGAAAAAAACATAACACACCAATACTGCGGTTTTGCCAAAACCGATACCTACTGCCCCAATCGCCGGGAAGTTCATCAAGGTTTTGCCCATCACTTCGCTTGGTTTTCCTGCATCAGTTTCCACGATACCTCAAGGAAACCGAGGTCTTCACACATCCACTAGGGTGGAGGCCATCGCTATTAGGGTGAAGGCCATTGCTACTAGGTTGGAGGCCATCACTGGTGGAGGCCATCGCTATTAGGGTGACCACAGGGTGGAGGCATTGCCATTATTAGGGTGGAGGCCATCGCTATTTAAATATTAGGGTGGCCATTGCTATTAGGGTGGAGGCCATTGCTAGTGGGTTGGAGGCCATCGCTTCTAGGCTGGAGGCCATGGCTAGAGGCTGGAGGCCATCGCTAGTAGGTCGGAGGCCATCGCTAGTAGGTTGGAGGCCATGGCTATTAGGTTGGAGAGCAAGGTTGGAGTCGGAGGCCATTGCTAGTAGGTTGGAGGCCATTGCTAGAAGGTTGGAGGCCATTGCTATTCGGTTGGAGGCCATCACTATTGGGGTGGAGGCCATCGCTATTAGGGTGGAGGCCATCGCTGTTAGGCTATTAGCACAAAATGAGGGTGGGTGGAGGCCCTCGCTATTAGGGTGGAGGGAGGCCATCGCTAGTAGGAGGCCATGGCTAGTAGGTTGGAGGCCATCGCTTCTAGGTTGGAGGCCATCGCTCCATCCTTCATGCCAAGTCACATTGCTTAAAGGCACATCCAAAGATGAGACTCCGCAAAGCAGTTGGAAGCCTCACCCCGTGCCTAGGCACCAATTCAAGCCGATGCTGAAATGATCTGAAATGTATCTCAGTCCCATCCAGGACAACGCAGCCCAGGTCTCAATGCCGGGTCGACTCACTTCAAGGTACATTGGTTTCGTAAATCCATCTCCCAAGCGTAGTGATAGTAGGCCAATGGGTAGAGTCACAAGGTCCAAGCTCTGATTGAAGGTATTGCCGAAGGTCAAGCTTTCCAAGCCTGAGACACAAAGAATTCTACAGTGGACTCTACAGTATCTATAAGGAGAATGTGGCAGTGGCCTTCTGAGATCCAAAAATGGTCCCCGAGCGAGTGAGGTACCTGGTTGACCTTTTTCACAAATGGGAACCGGTATATGTTCTTACTGCTGCAAACAGCCTGATGTGAGGTACTGGTGGTTCTGGATGCCGGCCTGCTGGTAGACATACTCGCTCGAGACTCTGGTTGAAGAAATGCCCAAAGGTCAGGGTTTTCAGATGGCTTGGCAATGTCACGGCCTCTAGAGATTGATTGTACCTGAGCCACTTGCATGGGGGTGTCTGGGCATGGACTTGTGGGACAGAGATGCAGCTCGGAAATTCAAGCAACCATGGACCATGGACCACTTAGAAAACCCCCGTCCCGTCAACAGTTGACAGAACTCAGACTCACATCCGCAAACAAGACACCAAGCGCCCAAGGTCAAACAGCCTGACGGCGGGGCGGCCGAACCGTGTCGAAAATCAAACCAGCCCCGGAACGTAGCGTCCTTGTTCCTAGTAAAACCAGTCATGTCATTCAAAGGGATTCCGCCGAACATCTTTTCAATCAGGGAGCGTAGTCCAGAAGGCACATCTATCTGCTTCAAGCTCTGATTGAAAGACTCTCCAAAGGTCAGTTCTTGCCTTCGCTCTGGGCCACACAAAAATCAGTCAAATGGCACCCCAAAAAAGAAAGTAGCAGCATAAAAAACCAGAAAACGTTTGAAGCAAACGTCTGGTTGCAGCATATTCGGAAGTTCCACGAACTCGAGGCTTTGTTGAAAGTTTGAACCAAGAGTCAGGCTCTTCAATCCATCTGGAAGTTTGAGGTGCTCCAAAGGCTTATTAAAGCAATATCCGAAGGCCAAAGATTCCAAGCTGCTTGGAAGAGAAATTCGATCCAGTCTCTTGTTGAACTCGAATCCAAACGAGAGGCTCTTCAGACCCTTTGGGAGATACATCTCGTCCTTGACAGCGGCATTTCCCGAAGGCCCCGAAAAAGAAGTTGAGGGCGCAAATGAAGGGTTCTGGTCCAAAAAGGCTCACTGTACAAGATCGAGAAAACCCTCTTCACAACGAGAAAAGCATCTAATGCTTGGTTGAAGTCATCGTCCAAGCACAATGTGGTCAAGCTCTCAGGCAACTTGACTTCTGGATGGAGATTGCGCTTTCCGTACCTAATTGAAGTCAAACCATCGAGTGCATCATCGTCTAAACACGCTGAAGTCAAGCACGTCCAGCAGCGGTGCCTTTGGCATCAGTTGCAGCCAAATAAACAGCAGGGCAAAGGTCAAACAGCAAAGCCATGCAGCTCTCGGTTGTGCTGAGAATAGACCCGTCCTACTTCCAACTGAGTCTGTGGCACATTCACCGGCTGGTAGACGAAACAAAGAGTGTGCTTCTGTGAGCCAATGTCTCTCCTAGCTGATACATGCCCGGACAAGAATGGAGAGCAAGAAATCTCTTTCAGCTCAAGGATCAATCCTGCGTGGAACTAACTAGACCCATTCTTTTTCCTATATGTCTTGCTTGGCACTGAACCTGCGCAGTAATTACCTTGCCAGCATGTATGGAACATCTCTGTCCTTGTCGTGGTCTCTGTTGCTTCTGCATCTGCATGATCTCTAGGTTTCAGTATCTCTTTCAACGTTGAAGCACTCGATTTGCCGGAACTTATTCGAGTGTTCTCATGTAGGAGTGCCTAAGGCTGTCGAGGAGACTGGACAAAAATATAACATAGCCTTGCAAACCCTTTCCAAGATCTCCAAAAAAATATCCCATGTCCCATGTCAAGCAATGCCTTCCTTTGTGACCCACACAATGTTCATGGGATAATCGTTCCATGCACATCATATTGAACATCATGGCTGATCTCTTTTACACTTCAAAACGATCGATTACAGCTCATCAAACCTACTAGTAAAGCTTTCACGCGTTGTCAACAGAGTCTGGCTTTTTTCATCTCCAGCGGTGCCGCTACGCGGTGCCGCTACGCGGTCCCTTTGGTCTTGCTTTCCGAGCCGCCAGGGTCGTGGACGGCTTCACTTGCAGCTTCTGCCGGAGCTGCTGCAGTAGCTCCTGCCCGGAGGTCTCTTCAGGGACACCTTACAGGGAAAAGCTTGTGAGAGCCATGTTCGGGACACCTCGCATCTTCAAGTAGCTATGGCTGAAATGGGAGCGGCCCTGTCATATTCTGACAGAAGATAATCTGTCAATGCAACAGTCATCATATTTCTTTGCTACCAAGCCACAGAAGTGGAACTCACCACCATCCAAACCAACGACTCGCAACTCCATGGCATTCGCAACTCACCCACAGCAGCAATTCCCCTTGACCCTGTCAGTTGAGAGCTGAGTGATTCGAGCCCAGGGGCGTCGAGGCACAGTTCGAAGAACCGCCTAAGAGTGTATAGGGTCCTGATGAACAAAAGACCAATCTGGGCATGGACACTAAGTTTTGATGTGCGTTCTTCAAAACTTCCAAGGACAGGAAAGCCTCGTTCTTGGATGCTCAAAAAGGCCCAGGAGCATGACTGGATAGTTCAAAGTTCTGCAAGCACGTTTCAGCGAAGGAGAATGTCTAAGCTCTCCACTTCAGGACTGCCTCGCAAGCTGGCGAAAATCCAAGGACGGGAGCATGTGAGGACCCTTCGTGGGTCCTTCTTGGTTGCTTGAGATCATAAGGGAATCCCAAATTGTTCCTGATGTTAGAGCGAAAACATGTCGCCCTCGAACGGACATTTCTTGAGCCATGAGCGAAGTGCATGGTTTCATGCTGGTTTGAAAGCTGATGGAAGCATGGTTTGCGCAACCACACTCCCCCTGATAGCATCGCTATCACCGCATTTCGACTGCAGGTTTTTTCATCCACAGTCTACTCTGCAAAAGCTGCCGTCTGACGTTGAATCGTCAGGATCCCGAAGCCCTGGTGGTGGTCCCACCTCAGTTGCAATGCCCAACCAAATCGGCAGCTGGTCCGCCTCTGGCGGAAGTGAATCCTCAGAGGCTTGTGCTTGCTCCCTCGCTTCTCGGCCAGGGTCAAGATCGACCTCACCCCTTCGTCCGCATCCATGCAGGCGGAGATCATAGCCCGTCATCCTGCCACCCTCGATGAAGTCACTGCCTCGTGCACTGAACCCCGTTCCATCATAGGTGGTGCCCTCGTCACAACCTTGTCCTATCTCCTGCCGCTCATCTCTTGGTAGGGCCGCTTGACCCCGCTGTGCTGCTCTGGATGCTCCAGGATGGAAGTTGCCATAGCCACCAGTTGGAGCCACCGATCCAGGCGAAGGTATTGGCCCTGGAGAAAAACCATGCCGTTCTTGGGTTTCTGAGCCTCCCTCACGCGAAGGCCCAAACTTCACATAGAAAAAGGAATATCCACACCACTCGTAGATGCCGTGGACATCACAATTTCGATTCTCAATCCAATCGTCAGTGACGACCGTCCTCCTCCACACTTCCCGGGGATTTCCCCGAGAGAAGGTCACTGTGACCCGGGTGGCAGACAGGCTGCCGATTGACATTGGTGTGCCTCTGTGTAGTGGATGGTATGCTTGAACCCTGGATTTCTTGAGAACCCTCACCCACCATTCACCTCCACCCAATCCCACACCAAGGCACTCCCACCGATCGTTTCCGGTCGGCGGTGATTGAAATCTCATCAGCTCCCAAGGCAAGTCAGTGCCTAAGCCCACATGCCGCACCGGAGCCCTCAGAGCACTCAAGTGAGGCGGTTGCTGCATCCATGGCTTGCACGATCGATCGCGGCCGCGGGAGCCCGTGGGGCTAGTGTCGCGTCCGCTGGTGAGGACAGGTTCATCTTCCCTTGTCCCATCTTGAATCTTTCTTTTTTCGACACTGCTCTCTTTGGATGCCTTGGTCCAAGCAAGTGCCGGGTTGCAATCTCTTGAAAGGTCTTCTCTCCCTTTCCCTCCCATCAAACATGCTATACTAGCAGCTACCGCAGCTACAGTGACACACTTGGCAACCTTCGCAAGCTCTTGCACTGGCTGCCAACAAGCTACACCTATCAGCCCACTCAGAAGTGCCACCAGCTTCTTCAGACGTGAGCTGTTCTCTTGGTTGTTGAGGTCAATAGAAGCTCCCACACCCAAGCCCGTGAACTCACAAAATCTTGACCATGCTGCTGGGCTGACAATTGACTTTGTCAGCAGGTCCACCGACAAGGATGCTCCGGGCTCATGCTTTGCTCGCCAACAGCCGGTGCGAATCCTCTCTCTCAACACAAAGCTCCTCAGCCTCAAGTGCCGCGTCCTCCACGGCCCGTCGGGCGATTGCAAAATGCGAATGCCTGACTGAGAGTCACCATGAGGCACACAGTTCACTGCCTCATTTCCATCACCACTCTCCAGAATGGCTACAACGGTCGCGCAAGATTCCCCCCATCGTGAGGGCGTCCGTGTACCCCATGAGCTCCGCCTCTGAGCTTGACAAAGTTCCAAATGGCTGTTGTTTGCTTTCCCATTGGATCAAGGCTCCGGAGTACACCGCCATCAACCCCTGATGCCCTCGAGACCCAGGTGGACCAAATGAGGCATCAGAGTACATGTGGATGCCCCTTTCCTCTGCATGATCCTGCTCTCCCTTGGGGCGGTGAGTGTACAAAAGGCCATAGTCCAGGGTGCCCTGTAAGAAGCCCAACACCTGTGTCCCATACTTCTGAACCCGAACTGGACAGCGAGCCACATGCCTTCCCAGCCAAGAAACCGCATAGGAGATGTCCACCCGGGTGCGAACTGCAAGCCAAAGAAGCTCCCCCACCAATGTCTGGGCCCGTCGCACTTCCTGAATATCAGGGTCAGGCTCATCAGAATCATCCAGGCAACCTGGCAGTGGGCTTGGTGCCGTCTTCAAATCAGGATACCTTGCCAACAGGTCCTTCAGGTAGGCGTTCTGGTGAAGACGAACTGAGACACCTCAAATCCACAGAACTTCAGGGTATGGTGCTGTGACAGCCACTCCGGAGGTGAACACTTCCACTGATCTTGAAACCTCCTGATAGTCGAACGAGCCACAGCATCTTCTCCAGTAACTAGGATATCATCAACATACACTGCCACAAAGGCATAGACCTTGTCCGGCATGTCCACCTTCTCCGGGTTTTCCAGCACCACTTTCCACAGGTTCGGCTCTTGGGTCCTCAGCAAACGCCAACCCACTCCATTGTCCTCCCATCGGAATCGAGCCATCTCTTCGTCCCGGAAAAGCGCCCAGTTGATTGGTGCTTCTTGCAGGCCGTACAAGGAGTTCTTGACCTCCCAAATCTCGCCTGGTTGGCATACTCCAGCTTCGATCAACACCCGTGGTGGGCGAGTGATGAGCAGTCGTCGCGATGCATCTCGTCGGGGTGCTAGCAAGAACGCGGTCTTGACGTCCAGGCTGGCCGTCGACCACCCTTCCAAAGCACTTTTCCTCAACAGTGCTCTGAGCACTGTAGCATCTGCTCCACCAGCATAGAGCGCAAAAGGTGAAGTTGACGTTGGTGCCTCCAAGGGACTCAGTACCTTCTCCTCGGCTTGAGAACGAGTGAGGTGATTTCCACAAATGACCACCCTTGCCCTGTGGCGACCATGAGGGCTCTTCACTCTAGGAACCAACATCGCTGGAGCTTCTTCTCTGTCGGGGTAGCTAGGATCAAGCTTCAAGGCCTCCTCTGTAGTTGGAAAAATCGCCTGAGTTGTCTGAGACAGAGAAGTGTACTCATCTCGAAATGGCTCCACCCACTTGTGAAGTTCTCTCCTCACCTGAGCCAGTGGGACGGTGTAGGTCTGGAGAACCAATGGTCTCCAACGCCTGATGCTGCTTGCTGAGGCACTCCTCCTGCACCCGAAGTTTCTCTTCCAGTTCCTGCAGCCATTGGCCATGTTCTCTACCTTGATCTGGGCCCATTGGAGTCACATTCAACTGCTCCAGCCACATCTTCGACTTTGCAGGTCATCTTCATACCATTGATGGGCTTGGGTCCACGAGCAGGCTTCCTGATCACACATCTCCTCCCCCGGGATCTGTGTCTCCTCCTGTCTCACTCCCCATCCCATCTCCTGACACCCGCAAAACCCACAGGGACCTCCTTGATCTTCTCGATGTAGACCCTGTTCTTGAAGTCTTCCTCTCTCCTGCAAAAGGCCGCAGTCTGGACATTCCTTCATCTCCTGAATTGGCTCTTCCTCTCTTGTGCCAGGATCAGGTTGCAAAAAGAAGGTGCCTTCCTTGGCTGATGTCCCCCCCCCTGTCCGGAAGTGTGTCAACGCTGCCAGGACAGGCCTTGCTGCATGCTCCACTGGCTCATATAGCCGCGGAATGACATCTTCCAGTGGATGAGGATCCAACCGTTGCTTGCTTCTATACTTGACCTCCTCTGCATCAATCGCCTGCAGTTCCAGGGTGGCCTGATCTGCTTCAGGTACTGGTTGAATTGCAGCCCTGACATGTTGGACTTTGTTGTTTCGTCTCACCACCCAGCCACTTGTCATCAATGGGCTTGGACCTACCAGTTGCATGGACACGAAGGGATTTGCAATCTGTCCTGCCTTGTGCCATCTTTTGGATCGAACTGCAACCATAGCCCCGAAGCGATGCATTGGTTGAACTGCAATGCCAAGGTGCTGGAGTTGCTGACGGCACCGTTCCTCAGCTGCATGTCGAATCGCTCCAGGCCATAGATCAGGTTCCACCTGGGATTGGTGAAGGATCAACCTGAGCCGACGCTTCACTTGTTGCACTTCAGCTTCTGCTCTGCCATTGCTCTGGGGATCATCACCTTGTGTGAAGGTGTGGGTCATGTGTCTGTGACCACACCATGTTGCTACCCTTCTTGAAAGCAGCCCTTTTTCTCGATCGCTGTGAAGCCTCATCAAATTGATGCCCATGCAGCGAAAGCGAGCATGTAGTCGTGACAGTCCCGCTAGCAGCGACGTAACACTTCGATCCTCTAAGATCTCTATCATCGTGAGGTCGCTTCAGCTCTTGAATCGCCTCTAGATCCACCTGCTCCACTGGCTCCTCACCCTCCTCCATGGCCTCTCCCATGACCTCTTCATCGTCACCGGGACCCGGATCTTGGTCTCCAACTTCTTCTTCTTCATCTAAGCCTTCAACCGGCTCAACCCCCTCCAGGTGCTCCTCCTCCAAGGTCTCTACCTCCGGGGCACTGGGTAGCTGATCTGGAACTGGAATTGGAACAGTTCCGAGCAATGCATAGCGGGCCATCCTTCCAGTAGCAAGGTCCTTGACCGACGTGAACGGGCCAATGATGTCAATGGCCAGGGTGAAGGCCGCAGAAGCTGTCTTGGATCTTCGATGGGGATGTTGTGTACCCATCGCTTCGATGCAAGCACGGCAGTCTCGT